ACTTAATAATTTTCATAATAGAATTCCCAAGTTATTGACATGATAAAATAATTATAGTTCCATATACCAAATTATTGAAATAAAATAAGAGTAAGATTTTATGTAATAGTTTTAATGAAAAAGAAAAGAAAAAGTCAGCATTACAAATAAATTATGGAAAGCGATGCCCTAACAACTAGTATTGACTTCATATGGACAAAGAAAGAATGCATGCTATGGAAAGCATCCATGCTATCATGATGGCATGATTTCTTATGGAAAGCGATGCTCTAAAAACTATTATTGACTTCATATGAACAAAGAAAGAATCCATGCTATCATGATTGCATGAATTCTTATGGAAAGCGATACTCTGAAAACTAGTATTGACGACATATGGACAATAAAGAATTCATGATATCATTATAAAACTTAATAATTTTTTAGTAAAGTTTCTAAATTGTTGGCATGTCGAAATAAACATAGTTACATATACCAAATTGTTGGAATAAAATAAGAGTAAAATTTTATGTAATTGTTTTGGTAGGAAAAAGAAAAAAAGGTCAGCATTACAAAGAAATTAGAGAAAATAATACCTTAAAAAACTAGTATTGACTTCATATGGATAAAGAAAGAATTCATGCTATAATGATTGCATGAGTTCTTATGGAATGCGCTGCTCTAAAAACTAGTATTGACGGCTTATGGACAAAGAAAGAATTCATGCTATCAGATAACATGAATTCTTTCTTTGTCCATATGCCGTCAATACTAGTTTTTAATAGAGGTACCAATAATAATACCATGAATTAATGGTTAGATTAAACACAAGTGCAATTAATAACTCTTTACTCAATAGAATTCATGACATGTTTAGAAGTATATAAACAGATGCAATTAATGGTTCATACTCAAATGACATAACTGGCATTCATGTAGCTGATGGTGCAAAACTTGAGCAGACAAATGTTGATTGCTGATTGCTTTTGAAGGAAACCACAATTGACTAGAATTTGATTTCACAATTTCCTTACACAAGACACGGTAATCCAGAAAAGACACTCTTCTATCATGATAGCATGAATTCTTTTTTTGTTCATATGCCACCAATACTAGTTTTTAGAGCATTGCTTTTCGTATTTTCTTTTTGTAATGCTGATTTTTTTTTTTTTTTTTCCTTTTCTATCAAAACAGTTACATAAAATCTTCTCATGTGAATATGTGAACTCTTGGCTGCTGGATGCCTAGTGGGTTTTGCACAAGAAGGCAGGTTGTTCCCTGAGGGATCTGCCATGTTGAAAGTTCCAAATAGGCGGGGAGGAGTCAAATTGGATAGCAGTGAGGGGGGTTATTTATAAGGCCCGGGCTGGGAAATTTTCTCCTAAATCCTTTAAAAAATTGTTTAGATATATATTCATATATTAATATTAAAACAAAAAAAGAATAAAAGTGATATTTTAAGCATTTATTTTCTTAGATATAATTTTCAACTTGTAAATTTTTTCTATCATTTATTTTGAAAGAAAAAGTTTGACTTATAATTTTCTCTATATTAGGCCTATTTAGCAACTTTTTTATATTAATTTTTTAACAAAGACAATAAAATTAATAATTGAACAAAATTTTAATAAAATTTTATTATAAAACTTAATAATTTTTCTAATAGAGTTCCCAAGTTATTGACATGATAAAATAAATGTAGTTACTTATGCCAAATTAATAGAATGAAATAAGAGTAAGATTTTATGTAACCGTTTTGAAGAAAAAAGAAAAAAAAAGGGTCAGCATTACAAACAAATTATGGAAAGCGACGTTCTAAAATCTAGTATTGGCTTCATATGGACAAAGAAAGAATTCATGCTATCATGATGGCATGAATTCTTATGGAAAGTGATGCTCTAAAAACTAGTATTGACGGTATATGGACAAAGAAAGAATCCATGCTATCATGATGGCATGATTTCTTATGGAAAGCGATGCTCTAAAAACTAGTATGATGGCATGATTTCTTATGGAAAGAGATCCTCTAAAACCTAGTATTGACTTCATATGGACAAAGAAAGAATCCATGCCATGGAAAGCATCCATGCTATCATGATGGCATGATTTCTTATGGAAAGCGATGCTCTAAAAACTAGTATTGACTTCATATGGACAAAGAAAGAATCCATGCTATGGAAAGCATCCATGCTACAATGATGGCATGATTTCTTATGGAAAGCGATGCTCTAAAAACTAGTATCGACGGCATATGGCCAAAAAAAAACAAAAAAATTCATGCTATCATTATAAAACTTAATAATTTTTTTAGTAGAGTTTTTAAATTGTTGAAATGTCAAAATAAACGTAGTTACATATACCAAACTATTGAAACAAAATAAGAGTATAAGATTTTATTTAACCGTTTCAATGGAAAGGAAAAATAAAAAAAGTCATCACTACAAAGAGATTATGGAAAACGATGCCCTAAAAACTAGTATTGACTTCATATGGATAAAGAAAGAATTCATGCTATCATGATGGCATGAATTCTTATGCAAAGTGATGCTCTAAAAACTAGTATTGACGGCATATGAGAAAAAAAAAAATTCAAGCTATCATTATAAAACTTAATAATTTTCTTAGTAGAGTTTTTAAATTGTTGAAATGTCAAAATAAACGTAGTTACATACACCAAATTATTGAAACAAAATAAGAGTAATGTTTTATGTAACCGTTTTGATAGGAAAGAAAAAAAAAAGTTAGGTCTGCAAAAAAATTATGGAAAACGATGCTCTAAAAACTAGTATTGACTTCATAT